GATTTTTGGTGTCTTTCCCCTAACCCTGGAAGACAATAGGCAAACAAGTGATGTCATCAGAACGGAGCCATTGGTGGAGCCTCCTGGGGACCTGAGTGGTTTTTCAGTCTCTGATAGTCTCTGTTCTGAATTGAGTAATGGCTTGTGATGGGGGTTGGTACTTCCTGCAGCTATTTCATATTTATAGTTATATGCTTGGTATTAGTAAACAAATGCATCTACTCCAGAAGGAGGCTTTAATGGACAAGGTGGAAGAGAGTATTAGCAGAAAGAAGGATTCCTGATCATTCCTTGTGACAAAAATTATTGGTTTAATGTATGAGATTGGCAGTCGTGCAGAGGTTGGGACTCAGTACAACTGTATGTATTTGAATTAGAAAGCCTTGTATTTGTAGAAGCTGGACTTCAGACAGGCTTTCCTCATCCTTTTTTGAGACATACAGATTGTCCTTTTTTTGGAAACCCCCGTATCACTTAGGATACATTTGGCCACGAATGTCTAAGAAGAAGGGGAAATAAAACATTGGGACAGCTGGCTGCAGCCCTAAAATGCTTCCTATAGTGCTATTGAGTGCAAAAATGAATTGTTGGCCTACGCTATATGTAGCCCAGCTGTACCTGCCACTTTAGTAAACCCTGGATTCTCTCAAAATAATTGGCTGTGGCTGCCTGTGCAGAGTGGTTCTAGGTGCCAGGCGGGTGCTAGAGGTACAAATGGTGAAGAAGTCAACATGGCTCCCCCACAGAGATTTTTGTTTTGTTTTTGAGACAGGATTTTGCTCTGTCTTCTAGGCTGCAGTGCAGTGGCATGATCAGGTTTCACTGCAGCCCCACCTCCTAGGCTTAGGTGATCCTCCTGCTTTGGCCTCCCAAAGTTTTGGGATTACAGGCATGAACCATGGTGGGGAGCACTCTTAAAGAAGGATAGGGGCTGCTGGGACACACAGGCAATTAGGGAAGATTTGGAGAGAAAGGGATCTCTTAAGGGGTCAGTGAAATTTTGCCAGAAGAGAAGTGGAGGCCATGGTATTCAGCAGAAAGGGTAGGCTTAGACTAAGTAGAGGGTGGTTTGCAGACTGTTTTAGGTAGGAACACAGGAGCAAAAGCCCTAACGGTAAGAAAGTACAACCTGTTGTGGAAACTGACTTTAGATCAGGATGGCTGTAGGAGATAAGGCTGGATGAGCAGGTAAGGCCCTGATCCCAAGGGGCTTGTATGCATTTTAAAGACCTGTCGTCTAGGCCCTGGGGAACTGTGGAAGGGCTTCAGGATGGAGAGTGACACAGTCAGAATTTCTGGGAAGGTCTTTGTGCTGCAGTGGCAAGAGTGAAGGTGGGAGTGGACTCTAGGCTGAAGGTGAGGTAGCCAGTTGGGCTGTTGCAGTTACTCAGAGGAGGAATGATGTTGGCTTGAATTAAAGGAATGACAGAGTGGCATGAGGAGTGGATGCAGCTCAAAACTTTTGGAGGTGACATGAACAAGCTTGGTGACAGATCTACAAGCTGAGGAAGGAGCCATTAAGGCTGATGGCCACCTTGTTCTTTTGAAAATTCAGTGGAAAGGGTACCATTTGCTAAGATAGGTCACATAGGGGGAAGAGGTTTGTGGGAAGAGATGATGAGCTTGGTTTTGGACACATGATGAGTTTTAGGTGTCTGTGGAGACATCTAATAGGCATTTGGATTTAGGGTCTGGAGCTCAAGAAGAGACTGCAGGGAGCATGAGAATGAATGGAAAAACTCAGGAAGAGTGGGTGTCAGCAGAAGAATAAGAGAGCTTAGGACCAACCCCCAAGGAACCCTCAATTGAAAGGACAGGCTGACGAAGAGGCAGCTGCTAAGGATAAGGCCAGCTAAAGACGGCCGGGCCAGAGAGGCAGGCAGAAACCCAGGGTGAGGTGCTGCTTGGAAGCCAGAGGAAGAGTGTTTTTCCATAATAGCATTAAAAGCTGCTGAGGGATTGAACAAGGTGAGGATTGAGTCCCTGGTGGGTTTCGTGACAAGGTCCTTATTGACCTGGGAGGGCTGCTTCAGTGGAATAGGTGGGGCTGAAGTTGGGTTGTTGTGGTTTGAGGAATGATACACAGCCAGGGAGGGGACATGAAATGTCGACAGCTCTTCCCAGAGGTTTACCCACGAAGTGGGGAAGAAAGTGCACTGGTTGGATGTGCTGTCAGAAGTTGTTTGTTGAGCCTGCCTAGATGGTTGTAAGTAGGGCTGTGGTGAGGGAGAGAGGTAAGAAGATGGGGAGGATGATGGAGTGAGTCTCTGAGGAGGTGGGAGGAGAGGGCATGGCGAGCACGTGGTCAGCTCCCAGTGTGGCTGTCCTGAGGACACTAGGCCTTGGCCATCAGTGGTGTGTCCTCTACTAAGTCCCCTGTGGTCCTTTGTAAATCTCTTTATCTGGAAGCAAAATGGCTCACAGCTGGAGTTAGGTTTTAAGAAGCCGAATCTGCCACATACACGTCTTTTCTTTTCCTTTCTCTGAGTCCAGTTAACCTGTTAGAGATGCGAAAAGTGAAGCTGTCCGTCTGAGTAGCCGAATGCATTTTCTGTGGATCCCATTATTGTTACGAGGCTTTTGGAGGACAGGCTTTGGCCATACTGGGGATGATTGTAAACTCACTCAGAGTGGGCTCCTCCTTCTGTTTGGTGTGTTGTTCTGACAATTGAACTTGTCAATTGGAGTCAGTATTGGACAGGCCTAAGAGTATTTCTTTGTTATCCCTAACAGTACACACACACAAACGCACATTCTCTCACACATATATGTCAATTTTTTTTCAGTAGGAACTCAGATGAAAGCCTACTTGGCTTTTTCAACGAGAGGGCCACCTAAGTCCCTGGCACTTATTAAGGATGCTTATTAAGGATAAACCCATCTCTGGTAATTTCTCTCCTAGGATCCTGTCTGTGTGAGTGAGGAGTTGCCCTCCCTGGCAGGTGGCCACAGGGCTTGATCTAGAAGATGGAGGCCATGGTATTCAGCAGAAAGGGTAGGCTTAGACTAATGACTTTCCTCCAGGAGAAAGTCGGTAACTTGCATATAAAGCAATGCAAAAATTGTTTGTGTAAATTATGGAGTTAGTAAAATTTGTGAATTTGAATGCATTGTGAGTGGGAAAGGCAGAGTTGTTGGAGGCATAACCCACCAGTGTGGTTGAACTCTACCTTTTAGTGACATTTCCTTGAAGATGAAAGAAAAAGAGAAGAAAAGCCTAATGATGGTACTGCTTATTTTCTTTCCCTAGTTTTTAGTTCCTCGTAGGCAAATGGGAACAGGATATTAATATATTTTCTTTAGTGGAGTCCAAAGCTGAGCCATTATCTGGTAAAGAAATGGGGTATGGGGCCGGGCGCGGTAGCTCACACCTGTAATCCCAGCACTTTGGGAGGCCAAGGCAGGTGGATTACCTGAGGTCAGGCATTCAAGACCAGCCTGGCTAATGTGGCAAAATCCCATCTCTACTAAAAATATAAAAATTAGCCGGGTGTGGTGGCGGGTGCTTGTAATCCTAGCTACTTGGGAGACTAAGGCAGAAGAATTGCTTGAACACTATCAAGCCAAGATCGTGTTACTGCACTCCAGCCTGGGTGACAGAGCAAGACTCTGTCTCAAAAAAAAAAAAAAAGAAATGGGGCATGGGTAGGGTTAGTTCCACCAGCATGGAGCCTGACACAGTGCTCAAGGGATTCTCTCCAGCCCTGGCCACAGCCACACTTTTTGGGGTCAAACACTGACCATCACTATCTTGGGTGTCAGAGTCTTGAGAAATATACAGGTAGGAGGGTGGGCCCCTGACACCAACAGATAACTGAAAGGGAGCCTCAGAAGGCTGCTGCCCAGAAAGCCTTGCAAGCCCACCAGGCGGGCAGGAAACCCGAACAGCAGAGTTTTCCACCCGGAAAGTCGATGGTGAAAATGAGTTCCACAAATGCTGTTCTGGACTGAGATAGGTCCCTCCCAAGGAAAAGCCAGACCTTAACCACAAGGAACATCCCCTTCTGCCCACTGCTTCCTCTGGCTCTCCCTCACTGCCTTCTCTTTCTTCCGTTGAAGGAAGGCTTCTGTTCTGTTCTGATCTTCGGGTCAGTGCTGGGTGTAGGGGAGCTACTGAGCAGTTGGTGGAGAAGCTTTCTGAGCATGATTTTCTCTGAAAATGCTAATGGTTTTTACTGAGCCCTTGGTACACAGGACACTCCAGGTGTTTCTCATCCTAAGTGCTTCTGTCTTTCCCTAGAGGGTCTATGTAAACCAAAAGGGGTGGGTCCTCAGAGGAGCTTTTCCCCTTCCTGTAAAGCAGGACTCTTGTTTCCTGTTTATACCAGTACCACAACCCCCTGGGGAAATGGCTGAGGAACTGTGGGAGGTTGGGTGGTGATTGAGAGAGAACCTGAGAGGGTCTGCCTCACTTGGCCTCTGTTCCCAGCCCTCAGGATTGAAAGGGAAGGAAGGAGGAGGGGTGCCCGGGAGTTGGGTGGAGATGAGTTGGTCCCAGCGCTCACCAGGAGTGAGGCAGAAGTGGATGCTGGCCTGGTGCTGCTGCCAGGGCTGCTGCAGGGGAGGCAGGGGCACTTGTCAGGCATGTGAGCAGGAAAATGGGTGCTGTCATATCTCAGGATAGTCTGGACACTTTGGTCTGTCATAGGTCAAGTAGAATTAATTAGCTCATCAGTTCAACAAATCTTGGGGCACCTGCTGTGTTCCAGGCACCGCTCAGTGCTGTGGTGAACAGGTAGCTCCCGGCCTCTGACACACCACCGTGTCTGACATGTATATGATGTTTTTACCATGTGTCCCACTTTATACTCATGAACATATGACATATACTGATGAAAATGCCCAATACAAAGCATACATGGGAAAGAAAAGTAAGAATGAGGTAAGTAGAGATAAGTTCTAAGATGGTTTCGCACGCTTTGGCAGATGCTGATATGTGCGTCCAGCTTCAGAGTCCACTAGTGTGGACTGTTGCTTTAATGGTAGCCTTTGCGTTTCAGACACCACCTTACAGCTTTGAGTCGGGGCTGCCAGTGTGAAAGAGCTTGAAGCAAGGTAGGCAAATCCCATGCCCAGATCACTTATTAGCACCTGGCCCCAGCAAGGCCTGATACTCTCCTCAGGAAGGGTTCCCAGCTTGTCTGGGGTGGGTGTTCTAGGCTCTTGTGCTTCAGTCCTGTGTGCTATGGTCAGGCTACCGAGGGGTAGGTCGGGGAGGGGAGTGTGGCAGGCACCTGCTGCTATTCTGTCCTTTATAGTTTTCATAGACTTTCATCGAGGTCACATTGGTCATCCCAACAACCTTCCAAGACAGGGAGTCCTTTCCCCACTAAAGACCAGAGCATGGAGGCCTGTGCTGCGTGTCACGAGTGTCAGAGCTGGCCCTGGGCCTTGCTTTCCTGGACTGGTTGCTGCCTCATTCTGCAGAAAGTTTTCCTTGACGTCTCCCCGCCTCGCTGTGCCCCAGAGGAGCAAACTGATGAACATGTTCAGCATGTGCCACGTTTCTTGTGGGAAGGAGCATGGGTCCCAGGTCCTTGAGTCCTTCCCGATCCTCTGTGGAAGCTGTCGCCGGCACTCAGCTTCCTTTTCCCAGGTATGAGCAGCTGTTTCCCCAGGCAGAATGCCTTTGTCCACGGGGTGGGGAGGAGCTGGAAGACTGCAGGCCTTCAGGTTCTCTCAGGTTCCTGTTCCCTTTGGCATCCACAGGATGTCGGGAGCAGGGTGGCTGGCTGACCTGTCCCCCTCCTCCTCTGTGTCTTCCCTGGGCTGTGCAGTTTCCCCTCTCACAGGGATTTGCCCTTGCCACCTGTTTGGCCCTGTCTCAGCTTGTGGGAGAGCGTGATCCGTGTTGGTGTTGGTCTCCTGCTCAGAGGATGGTTCCTCAGTACGCCTGGGTGAGGCCCAGGGAACCTGGAGTTACTCAAAGGCAGGAAAAACCTAGAAAGTTAATCTCTTTCAGGCTTGTTTGTTCAGGTGATTACTTTATTCCTTAGTTGCTCAGCTCGGTCCCCTTGAGGTCTTGGTAACAATAGTTGCGGTATCATCTAACAATTTTCTATCTCCTTTTACCTCTCTCTGCCTCCGGATTCCTCTCTTCACTTCACTCCTTCCTAGAAGGAAAGAGGGGAGTCAGCTCTGACAGTGTTGCAGGATGCAGTGCTGGGCTAATGGAAGGTCCAAAGAGGCTCTTAGCACGGAGCTATAGCTGGAGCTGGAGCTGCCTGTTCCTCCCTCACAGGACACTGCCTGGGTTCCATTCCTGTCCTTCCCTGCCTGGGGAACCAGCAGCCCTTGTGAGTCTCCTTGACAACAGGATGGATAAGCTAAAAATAACCTTGTGCCGGGCTTTCTGTGTGTGAGTGCCCTCTCGCCTGCTGTGCTGGAGAACAGTCCCTGTGGCTTCTGGGTGCTCCTGGAATGCATCTATGAGTCTCGGTGGGGTCCAGATGCCAGCAATTTTTTTTTTTTTTTTTAGTTAGACTATGTAACAGTTATATAATGTTGAGAACGTCTATAAACATATTTAGTCTCAATTTTTTGTCTGTAGAATGGGGACATGATAGAAACTGAGAGAGCTGTTAAGAGGACTAAGCAGGGTTACAAATTCAAAGATTAGGCAGGTAATTAATTGAATTCTCTAAGCATAAGATCATAGGAGTGGTGAGGAGAGTTCATTCCCTTGTCAACGGAGAAAACTCTACTGAGCTCTGGTATATTACTGCCCTGCCTGCATCAATGTGGGCCCAGTAACATCACCAATTCCTCCAACTTTTCTAGAAAAGCAGAAACCTGGCTTTTTAAATGTGAAATTTCCCAATTATTGAACATGGCAACTGATTAAAATTTATTTAAACACTAGGCAGGCCATTCAAAAAAACATATCTGTAGACTGCTTATACCTATAGGCTGCCACTCTGCAATCTCTGGTCTACATTAATTAGCAGAATGTCTAGCACATAATGGGCACTCAGTATTACAACATGAATTCATCACAACTGAAAACTTTGACATCAGATCCTTGGGAGATGGGACTTGTTTGACTGGGTGGGCAAAAGGCCAAGGCAAAGGAGACTCTGAGTAACCACAACATCCACTGCAGGCCCAGACACTCTGAAGAAATAGTAGGGAACAAAACAGAGAACAGAACGAGAGTGGACCACTGATGAGCTCTGTCTCCTTCCCAGTCTGTCTGCTCTTACCCCTCTTCCCAATGCTTGCTGGCTTTCTCGTACAACTGGCCAATCTCTGTACAGAAATAACTAATACAGGAGTAGGGAGAGGGGTAGAAACATCCTGCAGCTGGCCAGAGTCAGAAGGGCCCTGATAAGAGAGCTCTTTCTCTGATAGGATAACCTTGTGCCGGGCTTTCTGTGTGTGAGTGTCCTCTCGCCTGCTGTGCTGGAGAACAGTCCCTGCAGCTTCTGGGTGCTCCTGGAATGCATCTATGAGAGTCTCGGTGGGGTCCAGGTGCCAGCATTTTGAAGCCCTGAGTTTTTAGAGGTCAGAGCCAGGTAATCAGGCAGCATCATTACCTTGTAATGATTACTGTAATATTACCGACAACTGGTGGTTGCTGATGGTGTGTGGGTGTCAATGTTGAAATAAAGATTGCAAAGCTGTTGTGAATGCTTTATCTTCATTTAGTCTCCCTGGAGAGGGGCAACTCTGGAGACCTTGCTGTGTTTCAGAGCCTCTGGAGTGGTGTACTGGGACACAGCCCTGAGTGGGAGTTTGGTTATATCTCTTCAAGGACTCCCCATGGGAAGAAGGGGCCTTACCTTACTGGGCCCCTTTTATAAGGTAAAGATGCCAAAGTATAGAGGTACCTGGGTGACTTATTCAGAGCTACTGGCTCAGTTTTAGTGGAGTAGGGAGCTGTCACTGTCATCAGAAGCTGTGGCTCTTTCCCTTGGATCCTGATGATGAGGCCGTCTCTATCAGGCCTGTACCAAAGCCAGCTGTCTCTTTTATATCAGCAGTCTGCACTAGATGAGGCCCTCTTTTTGCTAATCTGTTTTGTTTTTCTGTTTTGCTAATCTGCACTAGTTAAGGGTCTCTGTCTTCTCACAGTTGTAAATTAATTTAGAAAGAGCTGTTTCTCTGAGGGCAGGGGCTGGATTTTTCTTTTTTCTTTTCTTTTTTTTTTTTTGAAAGGGTAGGGTATTTTATTTTTTTATTGTATTTTAGGTTCTAGGGTATGGATTTTTCTTTACCTACCTGGACTTAATTCTTCTCTTCCTCCTTCCATCCATTAGTAAGTGTTTTGCTGTGTGCCATGCGTGGGGATAATGAGAACAAGATGTTATGTTCTTGTCTTTAAGGAGCTTATTGTCAGCCAAGGAGACATTGACCAAAGTCGCCATTGTGGCCAGAGCTGAGAGGGAGAAGGTTTGAGTGTTAAGAGAGCAAGTCACTGGGGTGTCTAACCTTGGCTGAGGTGAAGGTGAGGGTTAGAGCAGTCCGAGAGAACGTATTTGTGACACAGATCACTCAAATCTGAAGTGCATAAACCACTACAAATCCATGAAAAAAGCAAGGCAGAAAACTCCGCAGAAAAACTGGCCAATAATTTGACAAATATTTGACAAAAGAAGATATCCAAATGGCCGATGAACACGTGAAACAGTGCTCAATTCCATGCATTTATCAGTCATCAGGGAAGTCAGAGGACCTGGGTTAATATGAGACATTGGGCCACATGTTGAAATTCCCAGCTCCCCTGTTTCTTATTTGTAAACAGGGCTTCTCCTGCCCTTCCCTTCCTCCTAGTACTGCCCTGAAGTTTGCAGGCCTGGGAAAGACTCTTCAGACTGCGCAGGGCTATACAGATATTAAGTAGTGTTGATACTCTAAGTGATTTAATTTCTCCTCCACCTGTCATAGCAACTATTCTAAATTCACCTCTGATAGAAAAGACTTGAGTAGTAGGATGGTTCCTCGGATTCAGAGTAGCCTGTCCCTTGATACTTTGGATAAAGAGCTTACTGCTGGCGTGACTCTGGTTCCCTCACCCAGGCTAGGAGCAGGGTGAGTTCCTGCAGGTCTTTTGACACCCAGGGCATGGTGGAAGGGAAAGGACAGTGGTGCACCAGTCCTGGCTCAAGCATTGGCTAGAGTAGGCTATATGGTTCATTGTGCACACTGACTGTGGTTGACCTCCTCACAGAGTGCTCTAGTGAAGTCCAGAAATAATACTCTGGACTTGGGGCATGTTGGCATTAACAGGTCTACAGGGGCAACAGCCCGCACCACCTGGCTTCCCCTGAGAGAGCCTGGTCAGTGCCATTGGCTGCCCTGGCAGGCTCAGGGATAACCTCCTGGTAAAACCAGTGCCAGCCTCCCTTTTGCATTCTTTGGATACAAAGGAGCCATGTGCTCTCTCTTCTGGATCTGTCCTCTGTGGTTGAGCAGCTGGTATGCGGTGCAGATACACACCTCTTTTCCAGCAGAGTGTGGCTGGCCACCTCGGCACATGTCACAGCAGCATCAGGATTGCTGCTAGTGCTGTCAGTCCCGTCACCTGACTGTGCCAGGTTCTTAGGCCCTGTTTGGAATCTTTCCCCACAGATCTCTCATGACAGGTATAGACTTCTCAGTGGTCTACTCGGCACTTTTTACCTTTTTCTCTTGTGTGTTTCTGCCACATAGGAGTCAGAGTCAGAAGCAAAGGTAGATGGAGAGACTGCGTCGGACAGTGAGAGCCGGACAGAATCTGCTCCCCTGCCAGTCCCTGCAGATGATACCCCGGAGGTCCTCAATAGGGCCCTTTCCAATTTGTCTTCAAGGTAACCTGGCTTAATGATACAGGTGCTTGTTGGGGGCTTTGCACCATGTCCAAGTGCCCTGGAAGAACCTGCAGAGAGCCCATGGTCTCTTGGAGAAGGCCTGCTCACTTGCCTCAGCCTCCCATGCCGCTGCTCCAGGCCCTGTTGAGTATAAGCTAGTGCTTAGCAGTGGCTGTGAGCACAGTGACCAGGAGGAGAGGGCAACCAAGGCTGGAAGGATCTGGCCCTGGAAGGGTGCTCCAGACTGGACTAGGAGGTGAGGTCCAAAGAGGAAGAGGGGACAGGAAGGATGGAGGTGGGTGAGTTCAGCTGACACTGCATGTCACAGGAAACTGGCCTTGGGTTTGTGACTAATGGGCAGGCTGCTTTTCACTGAGGAGTCCATGTTTCCAGTTCAGAGTTTAGTTTCTCTCTCCCACATTCATTGGGAACAGTTCTTTAAATTCTCCAGGAAGAACTGGGAAACATCTGAACTTAGATGAATCTAGGGTTAAAACTTTTGGCCCTTGAGAACTTGGTCCTTCTAACACAGCTTTGTGGGTAGATCAAAAACAAATTATAAGACCCCAAAGCATTATCTAAATGTTCCGATGTGTGCCTCCAGATGTCCCCTTGGGAGGCTGAATTGTACAGTGATTAAGGGCATGGACTTTGCAGCCAGACCCTTGGATTCAGATCCTAGCTTTACTATTTGCCAGCTGTTCGACCTGTGCCTCCATTTCCTCTTGTAAAAATGAAGTGTGTTGAGGATTGAAGGAGTTAATATATGTAAAGTCCTCATAAAAGTACCTTATGCGTATTTGTGGTAGCTGTTATTATCATTGCATAATGTTACTATTATTCCCATAATTATTCAGGGCAGTGCAGTTTGGGATCCTGCTGCCAGAAGAAAATGTTTTTTTTTCTTCAGCTAGTCAGCTGTAGAAACCATTCAAGTGGATACAGATGCAGAGGGCACTGTATTTCCCTTGGTTTTTTTGTTTGGCTTTTGCCTGATACCTTCTTTAAGATATAAGCTGGGTGTATTTTTCTGCCGAGTGTGGTTGTGGGTGAGGCATTGGTACTAGTTGTCCTGCTCCTGCCAGCATGTGGCTGGTGCTTCCCTCAAGGTGAATCTGGAAAGGACTGAGCTCAGGGCCCTCAAGTATCAGGAAGATCCATATCCCTTGGATTTGTGCATTGGTTCTTTCTGGGTTCCTAACTGGTGTTTTCTCCTTCTCCTGCTCTCTGATCTAGATGGAAGAACTGGTGGGTGAGAGGCATCCTGACTTTGGCCATGATTGCATTTTTCTTCATCATAATTTACCTGGGACCAATGGTTTTAATGATAATTGTAAGTGCCATTTCACACTATTTTAGTTTTCCCTTCAGTTTTTGCTACAGGCCTGGTTGTCTTAAGTGCCAGGTGTTGGGTTGGTTGTGGGAATTGATGGGGGTCCAGGCTCCTCAAAAAACCTCTGCCATAGAACATCTGTGACTTTCTACTTTTCAGTAGCCACCTGGAGGGTCTTTGGGATAGGCTAGTTGTTTATGGTTGAAGATGTCTCTTCATTTAAAAAACTGACTTTGTTATTCCAACTCTGTAAACTTTTACCCTGGCCATGTCTCTGTGTGACTCCTGGTTTTGTTTCTTGTTTTCCTGGGGCCTCTCTCCAGGGCTTAGAGCTTTTATTAAGAAATCCCAGTCCAAGAGTTGCTTTCTCTGTCTTTCCACTGTCCTGGACAGGGTCAAGTGACCATCAGCTGCATGCGAGCAAAGCCGTTGGGACTTTTCAAGTATTCAAAGTCATCAGGAGAATGGATTGGTTGAATCCTTGGAGGTTCTAGAATAAAAAGTTAAGTGAGGGCCACGCACGGCGGCTCACACCTGTAATTCCAGCACTTTGAGAGGCCAAGGCAGGAGGATTGCATGAGCCTAGGATTTTGAGACCAACTTGAGAAAGAAGAGGAGACCTCATTTCTACTTGAAAAAAAAATATTTTTGGCTGGGTGCAGTGACGCATGTATGTAATCCTAGCACTTTGGGAGGCCAAGGCAGGTAGATTGCTTAAGCCCAGGAGTTCAAGACCAGCCTGGGCAACATGGTGAAACCATGTCTTAAAAAAAAAGTTAATTGAAACATCAGGATGTATATTTTATTGTGAGTGGAAAATTGGATCTACTCCCTGTGACATAGAGGGCTGCATTGCTCTGTGGGATAATGTGAGAGGGGAAGGATAAGGCAAGCAGAATCATTGGAGGCCTGATGTTTTTCTGAAATATAATGGGTTTTCTGGAAGGCTCCTGACCTGTTGGTTTCCATTTCCAAAAATCATAAGAATTGGGGTATCATTGGATGTTTTGTGTCCTGCAGGTAATGTGTGTTCAGATTAAGTGTTTCCATGAGATAATCACTATTGGCTACAACGTCTACCACTCCTATGACCTGCCCTGGTTCAGGACCCTCAGCTGGTAAGCTCTCCGGCCTCACAGAGGCCCTTAGAATTTGGATAATGTGCTTTGTGGCAGGTGTTTACAGTGATGGTGGGTATTTCTGTTACTTGCTATAGAAATAAGGGCTGGGGAGGCAGTTATGTTAGATCATGCAAAGTTTTATGAAGAAAATAGCATTTGAGCAACAAGTGAGAAAATGGGTAAGTGAAGAGAATGTTAGGAGCAAGAAAAAGGCAGGAGAAAAGGAGATGGAGTGATTGCCACAGATTTGCACAGTACCTTTGAGACCTGAGTAATTTCATAGGCCAGACTGTGTGGTTAGCCTTGGAGGAGTCTTTAATAGTTACTTGGAGTCTGGAAGCTTCCTGAGAAGAAACCAGATGGGCTGTATTCTGTGACTGTATTTGCCTCGGTATTTGGATTCCTTAAACTCTGCACGATGATCTTGTTTTTCTAGATCAGCATATTTTTCATGCTGTCATATCTCAGCATCCCGTTAGAGCCGTCTGGGAGTTGTTAGGTTCTGCTGCTGGCTTTGCTTGTTATCCCTGGAACTTGGTTTCTTTGTCTCTAAGACAGATGGTTGAGATTTAGTGGTTTCCAGACTGTGGTGTTGGAGCCCTAGTTCATCAGAGGTCTTTTGAGTGCCAGAGTGGGCAGGAGTGAGACTGAATGCGTGGGATCTGGGCTCCACTGGGAAAGTTGGCTTTCTCCGTTTCCTAGGAAAGGACTCAGCTTTCTTAAGGCAAAAACAAAAGAAAACCCTGTAGCGCATGTGTGAGACCCCTTTCTGATCTGAAACCCTCTGCCTTATTGGCTGTAGTATTCTCAGGTAGTGACTTTAAATGCTGAGAAGACTGGGGCAAATGCAGACCTTTTCACCCCACTGTGCAGGGATACAGGGGTTGAGACCATGGCTTAGCTGGCTGGAGAGTAGTGGTTTTTGCCCCAGCAACCTGGTCACGGTCAAGGAAGTCGATGTGCTCAGATGTAAGCTGGGCACCCCCTTCCTGAGGTGCTTCTCATTACCCAACAGTACAGGCTGCCTCCCAGCCTCCAGATGGAACTGTGATTGCCACCTGGCTTAAGATGCAGGTTCCTCTTGTGCCTATTCTATAGCTGGAAAGCAGTGTTTGGGCTTTTGTTAACATACTCAGGAGGCCTGACTCCTTGCTGTGGTCACTTTCCAAAGAAAGTTTTTTCCATGTAACAGAAAATAAACCCAATATGGGAGTTTTTGTATTTCAAAATTATATAAAAAAAAAGAATGGGAAAGAAAGCTCTCCACTTTCTTCTCTATCTCAGGATCCTTGTTGGAGGTTTGCAGTGGTGGCTGCATGGTCTCATACTCAGCAGCACTGCGAAAGCCATAAGGGATGGCTTCTCTTTTCACGAACACCAGTTGAGGATAAACAAGTGAAGAGTTAACGCTAGCGGATGGTCTGTGTGTCAGAGCCAGGCTTCAGAGAAGGAGCTGCATCATTAATTGCTTAGTTGGATAATCACATATTACTTGCTATAGAAATAAATGCAGGGAAGGCAGATATCATGTTAGGTCTTCCAAAGTTTTATGAATAAAATGGGAATTGAGCAAGGAGTGAAAAAAATGGAGAAGCGAAGAGAATGTCAGGAGCAGGAAAAAGGCAGGAGAACAGCAGATAGGCAGCAAAGCAGGAAGAAACCATTTTGATAGGAGTGGAGTGGTTCCCGTTGGGAAGAGTGGAAATGAGACTGGGAAGCAGGATGAGGCGTGTTTTTGAAGGTCGTATGGTTCAAGGATCCCTCAGTTAGGTATGGGAATGCTACAAAAGGGGCAAAAATGGAGTCTCAAGTTTGGGAGAAATGGAGAGTGAATGAAAGCTGCTACCTGTTTCTGGATAAATTTCTCACATGCAGTGTCATCAGAGAGCAGGAAACTGTGGTCTGCCTGTCCCTCTGTAAGCTGTTCTGTGGGGCTAAAGGGTGGGGGGGAAGGGGACATTCTGCTGCTCTCTGTCCCCTCCTCAGCGATGTCTGACTGTCTTGCTGTAAAGTCAAGGGTGCTCCCTGCAGCAATGACCTGTTTTCATTTGCAGGTACTTCCTCCTGTGTGTAAACTATTTCTTCTATGGTGAGACAGTGACAGATTACTTCTTCACCCTGGTCCAGAGAGAAGAACCTTTGCGGATTCTCAGTAAATACCACCGGTTCATTTCCTTTACTCTCTATCTAATAGGTATGCATTAAGTAGTTCACCACTTCTTGTGTCTGTATTGTTTTTGTATATCTGTCAAGTAGGAATTGGGGAATTTCTTGGTTAGTGCACAGTTTTGTGATGTTAACTCTGACCATGGAGGGGAGCAGAGCTGATGTTCTGTCTGTTGAGCTGTAGTAGCTCTTTCCTTTTTTTTTTTTTTTCCTGAGGCAGGGTCTCACTCTGTCACCTAGGCTAGAGTGCAGTGGCACAATCTCAGCTCACTGTAACCTCCGCCTCCCGAGCTAAAGTGATCCTCCCACCCCAGGTCCCATAGTAGCTGGGACCACAGGTGCACACTACCACACCCAGCCAATTTTTGTATTTTTAGTAGAAATGGGGTTTCACCATGTTGGCTAGGCTGATCTTGAACTCCTGAGCTTAAGTGATCCGCCCGTCTTAGCCTCCCAAAGAGCCACGATGCCCAGTCTTGTAGCAGTTCTTTTAAGAGAAATGGAGTGTGAAGGGCGGGGACTGTAGTGTGTGCCACCTGCCTCTGTGTTTTAGCCACCATTGAATAGTACCACAGCATGGTTGTGTCCTGACTCTCCTGTTGGCAAAGATTTGCCGAAACAAAAATCATCTCAGAACTTGCCATCTTTAGGGGAGTCATTTTAGGAGACTACCTTGGGTAACATTGCAGCATGGTGGAAATTTTATTGGATTTGGGCTTAAAAAGACTCTGCAACCTCAGTGGGGGCTAGGAACCTAATCTTTCTGAGTCTCAGTTAGCTCTTTTGTAATCTAGAGCTAAAACTGCAGGGTTACTGTGAGGATTAAATCAAATACATTAAAACTTCACAAACGTTAAAGCGTTATATTAATATAAACTCAGTTAAGCCTGGGTCCTAATTCTAATAACGCTGATAGTTTTTCATAGTTGCCTTCAAAGCTAGTTTGAGGTACATGAAAAATTTGTTCTGACTTCAATGTCAGTCTGACCTATTTTTGATCAGCTTGATAGCAATACTTCTGTGAATGATACCTGGCTATTAAAATAATAAATACCTCGCTATTAAAATCTACTTCGAAGGGGTCTGCTGCCATTGAGGATATTCAGAGAGCATGCTGCAGACCCTGAAAGCAGCCTTCCCCAGTGGGAGGTGAGGGGTCTGGAACAGTGGCATGCTTATTTCTGGGCAGGACTGCTTTTGAGGGGCTCTGCATAGTTATGGATAAAGATTCCTCTCCTTCCTGGAAAAGGGGTCTGCAGACATGTTTTGCTACTATCTAGGTCACTATGAGAGACATAAAAAGGTAGTCTTGATCTATACTATGTAGATCCCTCTTCTCCCAGCCCTATTCTCTAGGATGGGTGTTGGCAAACTTTTTTTTTTTTTTTTAAGGGAAAACAAGTTTAAGAAAGTGAAGGAATACAAGAATGGCTACCCCATAGGCAGAGCAGCCCCAAGGGCTGCTGGTTACCCATTTTTATGGTTATTTCTTGGTTATATGCTAAACAAGGGGTGGATTATTCGTGTCTCCCCTTTTTAGACCATATAGGCCAACTTCCTGACGTTGCCATGGCATTTGTAAACTGCCATGGTACTGGTTGGAATGTAGCAGTGAGGATGACCAGAGGTCATTCTTATTGCCATCTTGGTTTTGGAGGGGTTTGGCCAGCTTCTTTACTGCAAACTGTTTTATCAGCAAGGTCTTGATGACCTGTATCTTGTGCTGACCTCCCATCTCATCCTGTGACTTAGAATGCCTAACCATCTGGGAATGTAGACCCTGTAAGTCTCAGCCTGATTTTACCCAGCTCCTTTTCAAGATGGAGTTGCTGTAGTTCAAATGCCTTTGACATTTCCTCCCTCGCTTTTATAAGAGAACCCTTAATCCTAAAAGTTGCAGAGGGATGAACCATCTTCTATAACTTCTTCAGGCTGAATAAGGGTGATGATATTCCTGCCCAACTATCAAGATCTCTAGTATTCAGGGTTGAGAGGAGCTCAGTCAGAAAGTGTCAGTATGGTGAGGGCCATTCACAACTCTGACACAAGGTGATACCTGGAAGATTAATAAGTGTTTAAGAGAACATTGGGTAAGCTTATCCTGCATTCCTACACAAGGAGTACAACAGTAATATCTTCCACAACAGTAAGGCAAAGTAAGCAAAACTCTCCCAAGTAAACTAAATAAGAAGGCTTTCTATGAACTAGGCAATTGTTGGAACCAAGCTGATATGGGGTCAGTAGTTGACTACAATATGTTCCCAGAATTAGAATACTGATTCAAGTTTCTACATCACCAATCCCTCGTTTCTTCTGAGCTGCAGCCAGAGATCACTGGTTGGTTCACAGGAACAAGCAGTCAGTCTAAATTGCAGAAAAACCCTGAAGTCAGCCAATCAGTGCTGCAGCCTATTTCCTTTGGGTTGGGGGGTCTCCTCAGTATTGTCCCTTTGGGGTTCACCAGAAAGATGTTACCAAAAAGGGGTCCAGACCCAGACTTCAAGGGTGTTCTTGGATCTCATATAAGAAAGGATTTGGGGTGAGTCCATGGAGTAAAGTGAAAGCAAGTCTATTAAGAAAGTAAAGGAATAAAAGAATTGCTACTCTATAGGCACAGCAGCCAGCAAACTTTTCATGAAGGTTCCAAACAGTAAATATTTTAGACTTTGGGTACCATAGGGTCTCTCTTGCAATTCCAGTCGTGTTGTTTAATGATGGGACACCTTCTGGGAAATGCATTGGCGGGATTTTGTCATTGTGCAAACATCATAGAGTATACTTACACAGACCTAGCTGGTATAGCCTCCTACACACCTAGGCTATAAGGTGTAGTCTATTTCTCTTAGAGTACAAACCTATACAGCATGTTACTTTACCAAATAAATACTGTAGGCATTTATAACACAATGGTAAGTATTTGTGTATCTAAACATAGAAAAGGTACCATATGGTAATTAGTAAATCTTATAGTATTACAGTCTAATGGGTACTATAATCTTAGGGAACCATTTTTGTACATGTGGTCTGTTGTTGACTAGAACCTAGTTGTTCAGAGTATGACTGTACTCAGTTCTGCTGAGCTGTAGCTTGAAAGCAGCCATAGACAATATGTAAACAAATGGACTTAACTGTGTTTGAATAAAACTTTATTTATAAAAACAAGCAACTGGCCTGACCGCTGTTTGCTGGCCCCTGTTCTCGGAATAAAACATTTCTATCTGATGAACTATGTCCTAAGTTTAGTGTGGTCTGCAAGATTATACAATATTGCCTTCCTTTTACTGTTTCGGAGGAGTTATTTTTTCCTTGTGACTGTTTATCTGGATAATGTTTTCCTCCCCTGGGTTTTGACATTGTGCACTGGTTAGCTGCTGGGAATAAATTAGCCAGCAGCCACTTAATATAGCTCACAGAGGGCTAAGATAAATGCAGAATATAATTCATTTTTCCTTTCTCCTCCCACCTCAAACTAGGATTCTGCATGTTTGTACTGAGTCTGGTCAAGAAGCATTATCGACTGCAGTTCTACATGGTAAGGGAAATTTGTGTGTGTGTGTGTGTGTGTGCGCGCGCGCACGCGCGCGCATGTTAGACCTCTTGATTGAAATGAAGTTTTTCAGGAGCTCAACAGGCCTTTCGTGCTTTCTGTGACAAATGAAAACCCTGGAACCTGGTCTGATCTGTATGCATCTAGAGCATGAAGGAAGAATACCCATTTAGGTTTAATGGCTCTGCAATGACTTAGGCCCAGTCACTGTTACTTAACTTACACCTTAAGCAGCCTCTCCACTAGGACCCTGAAGTGGGCTCCAGAGAAGGCTCAAGCTGAAGCTTTGGACATTGCCCTCATATGTCCTGTCTGGTACATCACTTGGTATCGCTTATTCCCTAAGAACAGCTCCTCTGTGAGTGCTCCAAGTGCTCAGTGGCTACTAAGAAAATGAAAAATACCCGCCAAACTAGGGGGGACAAAGTGTTACTCTCAGAAGCCTGATCTTACCAGTTCACTTTCAATAAGTCATATACAAAAGCAGATGTTTTTCCTACCTGTTTCTCAGCAATTTTCTATTTGGTACTGATTGTTTTTTGAAGTTACTTTCAAGGTAAATTAGTAAATAGTGTTTATTTCTCTTCTTTTGCAGTTTGGCTGGACCCATGTGACACTACTTATTGTTGTAACACAGTCACATCTTGTGATCCATAACCTATTTGAAGGAATGATCTGGTGAGTTTTGGGGGGGTGGATCTTGCCTTTTATTTTGTGGGTGTTTCTCACGTACAGTTACCTTGTAAGCCAATGGCTCTTACCTTGAGCCACATAAGAATCTTCTGCAGGGCTCATTATAACACAAATTTTTGAGCCCCACCCCTGAGTTTTTTATTCAGTAGATCTGGGGTAGAGCTTGAGAATATCAGCACCACCTAGTACATTCCTGGGCGGTGCTGATATTGCTGGACAGGACCCACGCTCTAAGAACCACTGTTCTGGGCTAACAGGTACAGGAATATTTAAAGACTCAAAGACAATGCAACATGTATGGCGACAAATTTGAAAACCTAGAGGAAATATTTATGATTTCCTGGCAAAATGTATATTAAAAGTCATGAAGAAGAAAACATGAGTAGATCAATAACTATAAAAGAGCTTTGAAAATTATGTAAGATTCCATATCTGAAAAAAGAAACAGGACCAAATGGGTTTATAGCTGAGTTTTTTTTTTTAATATAGCTGAGTTTTATCTAACCTTTATACCAAAGCCAATGAGGAGAGAGAAGCAGGAATGGCAAACCCATTTCTGCTAAAATTATAGATAAATCATTCTAAATGAAATATTAGCAAATAGAATCTGGCAGTGTGTCAAGGGAATAATATGCAAATACTGAGATTTTATTCCAAAAATGCAGTGGTTTCAATAGGAAGTCTATCAAAATTGATAGAAATCACCGGCCAACTGAAGCAGCTAGATGACCTTAGTGAAATGATAAAAGGCTGGGTTTGGTGGCTCATGCCTGTAATCCCAGCACTTTGGGAGGCCAAGGCGGGCAGAACACGAGGTCAGGAGTTCAAGACAAGCCTGGCCAACATTGTGAAACCCTATTTCTACTAAAACGACAAAAAATTAGCTGGGTGTGGTGGCGGGTGCCTCTAATCCCAGCTACTCAGGAGGCTGAGGCAGGAGAATTGCTTGAACCCAGGAGATGGAGGTTGCAGTGAGCCGAGATTGCACCACTGCACTACAGCCTGGGCAACAGTGCGAGACTCTGTCTCAAAAAAAGTAAAGGCATATGCTAGTGTATATAAGAGATAGGTTCTTAAGTACTGTGGTTAAGATCCCAGATTTGCCTGTTTCAAGATCTCAAAGTTAGAATGCAATAATGCCTACCTCCTAAAGAGTAAAGTATTAAATATTATGTGTAAAGTATTTAGAACTGAGGCCAACTCATATTAGCTTAGGCATTATGGCATTTAAAACAATTATAATGGCCTGTGGAGGCAAGTAACTCCTCCTTCAGCATTTTTTGTTAGGTATTTTTTAAGACTGGCATGTGCTAGGTTCTTATCTTTAGGGCCAGACATACCATTTGGTTCTATAGCAAATAATATTAAAATCTTCATAATTAATGGTTTTCAAACTCACCCTTCTAGCACATAGCCTCTGTTCTATAATTGTAAATTATATAAATTTAAAATCATATATGTTATATAAATATAAATACAATGATAGTTATAGAACAGAGGCTATGTACTAGAGGCCTTGATAAAGTTGTGCTGTGGGGATTGGGAGGTGAATGGAGTAAGGGGGATACAGATGCTCATTCCCTTCCTTAATGAACAGGAAGCAAGGAAATGCCACCTGTGGTTGATGGGCTAGGACATTGGATTTATGTATATAGTATTATATTAAACTATAATCAGGTTAGGTACAGTGGCTCACACCTGTAACCTCAGCACTTTGGGAGGCCGAGGTGGGCAGATCACTTGAGGTCAGGAGTTCAAGACCAGCCTGGCCAACATGGCAAAAGCCTGTCTCTACTAAAAATACAAAAAATCAGCCGGGCCTAGTGGCACATGCCTGTAATCCCAGCTACTCAAGAGACTGAGGCAGGAGAATTGCTTGAACCTGGGGGGCAGAGGTTGCAGTGAGTCAAGCTTGGGCAACAGAGAGAGACTCTGCTTCAAAACAAACAAACAAACAAATAAAAGAAAAAAACCCCTGTAATCGAAGAACTTTTTAAAAAGCATCAGAGTGGAGAGTGAGGAGAGAGAGAGTACAAGTGTGGAAACCACCTTCTCTTTCGTAGTGAGGATGACTGGATCAGCACGGGAGTGGGCAGAGAGGAAATCTAGCTGTGCGTGTTGGGGTTTCAGAAAGGTAGGGCTCACTACAGCTAGTGATAAACAGCAAGAAAAGTCAGTAAATAATGAAATAGACATTAAAGTATATTATTTAGAATTGGGGAGGTAACCACTAGAAAAATAAAAGTTAGAAATGATTAAAAGTGGTTATTTTTGGGAATGGAGATAGGGATGGGGGAAAGAAAACTTTTTTTTCCTTTTACAATTAAATTTCTATTATCGTTTGCATATATTACTTTATCATGAAAAAAGGACAACTAACCTTTTACAGATTGCCACCTCCACTTATTCAGTATTCATTCAGCAGACACTCGAATGTGTACTCTGTGCCAGGTACTAAGTACGACTGTTTTGGTATTTTGTATATTTGTAACTTACTCCTTAATGGGTGACTAGAATTTCGTGGGTGATTTTGGTACTGGAAGTTAAGAACGGCACTGCTTTGTGTACTGTCGAGGCACTGTCACCTTGGTCAAGTTGATCTTTACTTTGGTTCATTTCTAGGTTCATTGTCCCCATATCTTGTGTGATCTGTAATGACATCATGGCCTATATGTTTGGCTTTTTCTTTGGTCGGACCCCACTCATCAAGGTAAATGGATTTCCCTAATGTGAAATATCACTGTGAGGGGAAGGTGGTGCTCTCAATGTGAGTAGATCAGCCTGGCAGACAGAAGAAATCTAGCTGTGTGTATTGTGGCCATGCCTTCATGTCATCCTAGAGAAAGGCCAAAGGAAAACACTGACGACTCATTAAAAAAAAGATAATAAAGAAAGTAGGCCAGGCATCGTGGCTCATGCCTGTAATCCTAGCACTTTGTCATGCTGAGCCAGGAAGATTGCTTGAGGCCAGATGTTTAAGACCACCCTGGGGAGCATAGTGAGGTTGTGCCTTTACTAAAATATTTAAAAATTAGCCAGGCATTGTGGTGGCATTCGCCTGTAGTCCCAGGTCCTTGGGAGGCTGAGATGGGAGGATCTCTTGAGCCCAGAAGATTGAGGCTGCAGGGAGCTGTGATAGTGCCACTATACTCCAGCCTGGGTGATGGGGCAAGATCATTTCTTGAAAAAAGAAGAAAGGAAAATATTTTTAAAGATTATATAGACACATTTTTTGGGACTTTGATCTGGGTTTGAATGTAGTCATTTAATTAGTATATAGTTCTCTAATATAAAACTATTTGAATGACTGACTGAAACAGAGAGGGAACAAAAGGGAGGGTATAAGGAAGGGGACAAGAAAACCATGTAGAAGGTGACATGGTTAAGAGAATGGGGTTTCATGAAATAAAGGTTCTTAACAAGTAATCATTGTTCCCAAAGCTGTAGTTATTGAACCACCCTTTGCTGAGAACTTGCTCTCTGTCCGCAGCTGTCCCCGAAGAAGACCTGGGAAGGCTTCATTGGGGGCTTCTTTGCTACTGTGGTGTTTGGCCTTCTGGTAGGTGGTAGCTTCCAGCTGGGTGAGGGAGTGTGTGGACAGAAGCATCACCCCACCTTCTAAGGCCTGTCCAGAGCTGGAGATTGTTTCTGGAGGCCAGACTTTGTCCTACTACATGACAGCCTTGCCCTGAACAGGGTCATTGGCCTCATCAGCCATCTACCGGCTTTCAGGCAGGGTGCTAGCAGTTGAAGAGCACCTTCAATGCCCTCTCATGCCCATGCATCAGCAGGTAGCCGTCTTGTCAGGCATTTGATGTTCCAGGGTCAGGGTGAGGGCACCCAAGGGAAGGTGAGATACATAGCTTTTCTCCTACATGTGCCTTGCCCAGACGGGGACGGTCTTCCTGTCCTTACCAGAGCACCATTCTCTGCTTTTGGCCCTTGGGCCAGTCCCAGATAGTTCTTCAGTGCTGTCTGGCTGCCCCTCAGTGCTCAGTGCCTACCCTTGATGCTTTCCAGCCTTGTTCCTCCTGAGGTCTGCCTCTCACTGTGCCCCTCCCCCACAGCCTCTCTCCAGTTATTACTGAGTTCAGAGATCCTGAGGAAAGTGGACATAGCTTCCCAAATGGGGAGAATCTTGTAGTTTTTTGCCCCAATCCCTTCAGGTTTTCCTGGATTCTTTCAGGGCCTGGGTATTTGGGTGCCTATGTATGACCTTGATGGGTCATGAGTCTTTTTTTTTTAAAATTGAGATAAAATACATATGGTAAAACACAAACCTCTGAACACATAGCTTGCAGTTAGCAGGGCACTAGGCACCCTGAGAAACATGGCCAAGCTAGGTGCCTGTGTCTAGGCTGGATGGCTGGAACTTATCTCCTTGCCGGTCTCTCTGTTATTCCTCCTCAGCTGTCCTATGTGATGTCTGGGTACAGATGCTTCGTCTGCCCTGTGGAGTACAACAACGACACCAACAGCTTCACTGTGGACTGTGAGCCCTCAGACCTGTTTCGCCTGCAGGAGTACAACATTCCTGGGGTGATCCAGTCAGTCATTGGCTGGGTATGTGCCACTCACAGGGGGCGAGTGGCCTCTGTGGACAGTAGCTACAAAGAGAGATCTCCCTCCACCACCTGCCCTCCCAAAAAAGCTAGCTTCCCCATTCCCAAAGCTGTAAGCTCCAGGGTGAAGAATTGCTCACGCCAGGTCAGGGTATGGGCAGGAGACCTTTCCCCCAACATCAGATCATGTAGACCAGTGGTTCTCAAAGTTTGTTCTGTGGATCCCTGGAGGGCTCTGGGATCCTTTTAGTTGCGGGGGTATGGCGGGGGGTCTGTGAGGTCACCACTATTTCATAATTAGACTAACATTATTTGCCTTTTCCAATGTGTTGACATTTGCTGTGATACGGTACAAAAGCAGCAGTGGTTAAAACTGCTGGTGCCTTCGTGTGAGTTAAGGCAGTGGGTTCCTCATGCCACACACTCACAGTACAAATGAGCCAGTTCTTCTTATGAATGTCCATGAAATAGTAAAGTTACTAATTTTGTTAAATCTTGACCTTTGCATACACACCTTTTTAATACTCTCTACTGAAATGGGAAGTGTGTCTAAAACATTTCTGCTAAGTACTGCAGTACACTGCTTGCCTAAAGGGAATGCATGTGTGCAGTTATTTGAGCTGTGAACTGAATTAGCTGCTTTTTTCTAGAAAAGAAAGTAAATTTTACTTGGAAAGAACCAACAAATTATGATTTTTCAGACTTGGGTATCTGGCAGACATTTTTCTTGAAAAGAATGAAGTAGGCCGGGTGCGGTGGCTCAAGCCTGTAATCCCAGCACTTTGGGAGGCCGAGGCGGGTGGATCACAAGGTCAAGAGATCGAGACCATCTTGGTCAACATGGTGAAACCCTGTCTCTACTAAAAATACAAAAAATTAGCTGGGCATGATGGCGCGTCTGTAATCCCAGCTACTCAGGAGGCTGAGGCAGGAGAATTGCCTGAACCCAGGAGGCGGAGGTTGTGGTGAGCTGAGATCGCGCCATTGCACTCCAGCCTGGGTAACAAGAGCAAAACTCCATCTCAAAAAAAAAGAAAAAAAGAAAAGAATGAAGTAATCCTGTCACTTTAAAGAAAATGACTGAGTCTAGGCATGGTGGCTCACACTTGAAATCCCAGCACTTTGGAAGGCTGATCACTTGAGGTTAAGAGTTCCAGACCAGCCTGGGTAACACTGTGAAACCCTGTCTCTACTAAAAATACAAAAAATTAGCTGGGCATGGTGGTGTGTGCCTGTAATCCCAGCTACTCAGGAGGTTGAGTTGCTTGAACTCAGGAGGCAGAGGATGCAGTGAGCTGAGATCACACCACTGCACTCCAGCCTAGGTGACAGAGTGAGACTCGGTTTCAAAAAAAAAAAAGAAAAAAAAATGACTGCCAGTAATTGTTACCAAGATAAAATTTGACTTTCAGATGAAAATTTGAATTTTGGAAAGCTTAACCTGCCACTATGAGCTTGACAGCTTTCTAATACTTAAATCCTTTTCTGATGAGGTCTGTGACGATTCTTTTTTCTTTTTTTTGAGACGGAGTTTCGCTGTCGTTACCCAGACTGGAGTGCAATGGCATGATCTCGGCTCACTGCAACCTCCGCCTTCTGGGTTCAAGCAATTCTCCTGCCTCAGCCTCCCGAGTAGCTGGGACTACAGGCGCGTACCACCATGCCCAGCTAATTTTTGTATTTTTAGTAGAGACGGGGTTTCACCTTGTTGACCAGGATGGTCTCAATCTCTTGACCTCGTGATTCACCTGCCTCAGCCTCCCAAAGTGCTGGGATTATAGGCGTGAGCCACCGCGCCTGGCTGTGACGATTCTTAATGTGTGTGTGTGTGTGTGTGTGTTGATCACATGAGAAAAAACACATTTGATACTGTATAATAAAATGTGTCTACATATGAGAGATTTACATAACTCAGTGAACCATTATTTTCTAAATGACCAATGCATGGTGCTGTATAGTCATGCATGGGTAAGAGAGTCATCAAGTATAAGATAGACCAGTGGATTTTAATGTAAGAGAGAATAAAAGTCCATTGATGGAATTCCAGATCCATATCACACCTAATATTCAAGAAATGACTACTTGTCAAGCTCTGGTGTAATGTCAGAATACCCAAAACCATGTGAGACTACTACTAAAATACTCTCTTTTCAACTCTGTATCTGTGTGAGGCTGTCTTTTCTTTATATACTTCTACCAAAACATCGTGTTGCAACAAGTTGAATGCAGAATATCTTCATGTTTTCCATTAACTTAGATATTAGAGATTCACAAAAATGGGAAAAATCCACTCCTTTTATTGATTTAAAAACCTACATAAATATAATTAGTTTCATAGTTATGAGGTTGGATGTCTTTTTCTGTCTAGGGTTGATATAATAGAACGCTTGGGGCTGGGTAATTTATAAAGAAAAGAGGTTTACTTAGCTTGTTTCTGCAGTCTGGGAAGGGCGAGGAGTGTGGTACTGGCTGCTGCCTGGCCTCTGGTGAGGGCTTTATATGCTGCATTGTAATTTGGCAGAGGTCAAAGGTGGAAGTAGACGCATGCAAAGAGGCAAAACCAGGGGCTTCATCACTTCATAACAACCCATTCCCTCGGTTACATTCCTGCCAATGCTAATCTAGTCTCTTGACAGAGAGGACTCACTACCACGAGAAAGGCACCAAGCCATTCATGAGGGATTTGCCCCTATGACCCAAACACCTCGCACTAGGCGTCACCTCCCAATGAGTCCACAATGGCGATCAAATTTCAGCATGAGTTGACAACTCAAACTGTAGCACTGGGCATGTATGTACCTTGACTTTTACTTCATTTACCCTTCTCAGAAAACGGTCCGGATGTACCCCTTCCAGATTCACAGCATCGCCCTCTCTACCTTTGCCTCGCTCATTGGCCCCTTTGGAGGATTCTTCGCAAGTGGATTCAAGCGAGCATTTAAAATCAAAGTAAGAAAAGTCTTACGTTCCTCTCGTCTCCCTTCTCACCTGTCTTCTGCCTTTCTCCACCTTCCCTGCTCCCTCCAAAATACGAGGCTGTACACCCTGGCAATTAATCTTCTTGACCCATGCACTGAATTTAGGTGAGTTAAATAAAAATACTTTATTTTCAGGAAAATGCAATAGTTGTTTTTCAGTTTATTTGTCAATGTATCTTTCTTCAAAATAACATTTTGGGCCAGGCAGTAGCTCATGTCTGTAATCCCAGAACTTTGGGAGGACAAGGTGGGAGGATCACTTGAGACTAGGAGTTAGAAATTAGCCTGGGCAACATAGTAAGACTCCTGTCTCTAGAAGTAAATAAAATAAGGACATTTTGTAATGCAATAAAATTGTGTCCTAATATAGCCTGACCATTAGATTTAATACTTCTCACCTTCTGTTGCCCTTAGCTACTCAGGACAGAAGCCAGACATCAGGGTGGGACCATTAGGCTGGGATTGGTCAGTGGCTGAGCCCCAGTTCACCCCTCCTTCCGCTGCCTCTAACAGGACTTTGCCAATACCATTCCTGGCCATGGAGGGATCATGGATCGCTTTGACTGCCAGTATCTGATGGCCACCTTTGTCAATGTATACATCGCCAGCTTTATCAGGTATAGTGCCTTTTCATCTGAACCAATTGGTGGATGTTTAATTATCGGGCAATTCTAGAATTCTAGCAACATCTAAGTTCCAGTGAAAAGCATCCCAAATAATGCAATTTTCAGTTGTTAGTGCTTATGGATTTTCTAAGGCTTCCTCCTGCCGTCTGTTAGTAGATAGCTCTCTGATCTAGAGATCAGAGTAGCCACTTGGATAATCAGGCCCTAGAAGCTTCCAGGCCCCAGCTTAGTGCTGTTTATTCACATTCTGTTTCAGAGGCCCTAACCCAAGCAAATTGATTCAGCAGTTCCTGACCTTACGGCCAGATCAGCAGCTCCACATCTTCAACACGCTGCAGTCTCATCTGATCGACAAGGGGATGCTGACATCTGCCATAGAGGATGAGTAGGGGCCACTCAGGGCCAGGAGAACAGGAACGGAACTGAGCAGGGGCAGGTCTCCAAGACAAGCCCAGCTGGTGTGACTTAAGACAATGACAAGGCTTCAACTCACTCTTTTTTTTTTTTTTTGTAGGTTGTTTTTTATTTGTGGGTTCAAAAAATCTGTATATACGGTCTGTATGTTTAGAATTTATGTTGTAACTAAACTACAGCTTTGAGTTGGAAAGAAGTCATCGGGGTAAAACCATTTTTTTTTTTTTTAAACAAAAGTATTAATAATCTGGAAGACAGTGTTGCCCAGGTCAGGAGTGTTTTTCTGGTAGTTCCAGCCCCCATCAATTGAACTGTTTCTGGGCTCAGTCAGACACAGACATTCATCTGTGTCTGACCAAATCAGGGGGCTTCCCCACCTGTGTGGGGAGGCATAGCTTGGATGTCTTGTACACCTGGTCTTTTCTAGAAATCCCTGCTTGGACCTGCAGGAGGGTTGCCTTCTGTAGGTCGGAGGAACAAAGGCTTACTAACCAGCTAAGCCTTCTATTCACACCAAAATCATGCAGAATGTAACTAAGCTCTGCTTTATAAGATGGTTTCACCTTCATCGCAGATTGAAAGTTTCAGTTTTTATTTTTTTCAGAAAGCACGAAAAATTATTTATAATAGTCTGGAGAAAAAAACACACTGTAATATTTCAAGTAAATGCAGTAGAATGTACTGTAACTGAGCCCCTTCCCACATGTCTAGGCTCCAGTGTCTCAAGTCCACCTAACCATGTCTTTTCAGGGATGATGCCATCCACGTTTGTGCTGTAGACTTGCTGCTGCTGAATCCTTTCTGGGGACTTTCCCATTGGGCAGGGAGCAGAGGGCTTCTCGTTCATGCACCCTTTGCCTGAACACCCATGTAGCTGCTGTGTATGTATATATTACTCTTTAGAGGAGTGTGTGTGTCTGTGTGTGTTTTAAAAGTCACTTATTTCTTACATTGATTTCAATTGCACCATGACTTCTTCGATGAAACCACAAAGTCCTGCTTAAAACTATGGAAAAGCTAACCTGATTAGAGGCTTGACTATTGTGAAGATTAAATGCATACTTTAATATAATGTGACCAATTTAAATGTAGTTTGTATTTTACTGGGGGACCTTTTGTTGTTGTTTGCTTAAACTGTGATTTTTTTTTCTCCTCCCTAATTTCAGGGATGAGATTGACTTTGGGAAGACAGATTAGTTCTTTGTCAGGCCAACAAGCAATGGAGTGCAGGAGAGAGAACTTGGTGCCCAAATATATTAAATTATTCTGTGCCATGGACGTTTTCATTGCCAATGAGGGTGTAATTACTTATTTCAGCACCTTGGTCTAGTGCTGGTTTGTGGTGGTTTTGTTTGTAAATTAGCCTCACCACCTTCCTGAAAGCACACAGTCAGCCCAGGTCTCTGGAGCCTGCAGCAGAGGGTGGAGCCCTGGGATGTTTCAGCTCACATACCCCTGAGTGACCTCCCACATGCGTGCAGGGCCGAAGCAGCTTCTTTCCTCTGAAATTGTATTTCCATTTCAGCCTTGTGGCTTTTCTTATTCAGGTCCAAGGCTCCTTAAAAGCAAAATATATTATTGCAAAGGGTTTCATTTCAGTACTCACTGTGTGACCCCAGGTAGGATGCATCACTCTCAAGGGCCTCTTTTTCAGAGCTACTCCCAGTTCCACTTTTTTGCGATTTTGGCTGAGCAAGTTCATGCCACTAGAGGCTCACTGAGTAAGGTCCTGTGTACCCCCAAATGGGTAGTGCTTTCAGGCCCTTACATGCTTATCCTCTAGGTGAATAGTTACCTCAGCAGCACACCTGAACAGTGAAGGTGATCGATAATGAAACTGTAGTTTTCAGATTGAAGAATGAACCTGGATCACCAAACTAGATACCAAAAGGGTTCCTTATTTGTCTCTTTTGTCCAATTGTGGGCATATGGTGGGCTCCTTGAGAGGAGGGAGTCTCAGCTGGGGCCCTGGCTGCAGAGAGCTGCTCTTGAATAGGGCTGCCTCTGGGATCAGGGAGCTGAGCATACCAGGCAAGGCTCATGTTCCTTTGTGGAAGTGGTCACTGGGTAGGGGGTGGGGTGCAGAAGGTGGTACCTAGGAAGCCGAAGCTGGGTGCTCACTAGAGCTGCTAGCAGGCAGGCCAGAGGGTCAGCTTGTGTTTTATTTTCTGATTTCCCCTGCATGCTTTCTGGAGATGAGGAATTTTCATCAGGTGGCTAGGAGAGTGTCGCCACCTTGTGTCCATATACAGCACATTTTGCCTATTCACAGACAAGATTCAAGAAACTATTTTTATGTATATACATTCAGATCTTAATGAATGGCATCACTTGCTTTAGACCCATTTTTTTTTTTTGGTTGGAAATAAAATGTGACTGCAACTGTGTGCCTTCCCTTGTGAATTCCCTGTTTATTACTTTCATTGTGGTTTTATGCTTCCTGTTTGTTTATGTATTCATAAATATTGCATAGTCCTCATTCAGAGACTTTTGCTTTGCTTTCCAGCTTGTATCCCTACATTCTCACAACAGCCTTCTTACCTTGGGTGTGAGTCATGAGCACCTTACCATGCAGGGAGCTTCCCCAGGATAGCATGGTGGAGTAGGGAATCACTCCATCCTGTGCTTTACCCACAGGACACCTGGAGAGTCTCCCAGCCCTGCTTGCTTTTGTGTGTTGTGAGTACACTGAGGTGTTGCAGCTTTCCTCTAGCTCAGGAGGCCTGGCCTGAGCCAGGTTGGAGCTTAGATTGCTGTTGGCTCCTACCTGGTAGAATAAGGAGTTGATGAACAAGGGCTGATGGGCATCCCCCCAGCCCCTGGGAGCTCTGCTCACGACCGCTTACAGGACACTGAGTCTTTGCCTTTTGTGTGTTTGCATGCTGCTGTCTTAACTGCTTTTCATATTTGAAAAGGTTCCATTTATATTTTATTCCTGAAAGTGAAACTGTCTTAGGCAGCTCGTTTTGTATTCTGGGCATTTTAGTAGCTACAGTATTTTGCATTTAAAATGTAATTACTCTTAGTATTATACATCCCTATAATGTATGAGAACTAGTTTCACATCCTTTGAAACTAGTCTCTTTCATTGGGGGGATATAACTTTTTACTTTACACAGGTGGGCTTTGAGACCATTTTTATAGATTTTTTTTTTCACTGGGTTTTTATCCTGTAACTTGACCTATATTATGCAAGAAAATCCCTAAAATATGTTTTAAGAGGGACTACATAGACCTTGTGATTTGGGGCTGAGCTAGTTGCTGAGTTGACTGGAGCCTTATTTGAATGGATCCTTGAGTTGAGATCTTCACATTGTCAGTGAGTCCTTGGCTGGCTCAAGTCCATGTCCACTGTTGACAGAGTTGGGTAGTGGAAGGGTGTAAATGACTTGGGACGGAGAAAACTGTGAAGCAGGGGCCTTGTTAGCTACAAAGCCATCCCTAAATGCATGTTCAAGGAAGTAGATTTTCATCATTCTACTAAATGTGGAATGTCACAGCTAAAGCCTCTCCATTTTAGTAATATCTTAGACACTGTTGTCTTTTGTCTTCCAGAGTGACACATCTGGGATCACCTTTCTTGCACTGATTATGTGCTAAGAAAAGGGTGAAGATAGGCCGGGCGCGGTAGCTCAAGCCTGTAATCCCAGCACTTTGGGAGGCCGAGACGGGTGGATCACGAGATCGAGATATCGAGACCATCCTGGTCAATGTGGTGAAACCCCGTCTCTACTAAAAATACAAAAAATTAGCTGGGCATGGTGGCGCATGCCTGTAATCCCAGCTACTCGGGAGGCTGAGGCAGGAGAATTACCTGAATCCAGGAGGCGGAGGTTGCGGTGAGCCGAGGTCGCACCATTGCACTCCAGCCTGGGTAACAAGAGCGAAACTCCATCTCAACAAAAAAAAAGGGGGAGGTGGACAATTTCACTTGGACCCAGGTTCCTGTTCTTCTGAGGTCAGGGTAGGGAGAATGTCCAGGTGACTTCTGTGGACACACTGCAAGACAGTAAGCTGCGGATGGATTCTCGCTTGTGTTTTGGAACCCAGGGCTCCAAGGAGCAGGTGGACCAAACTGTGGGCTCTTGAAGATGGTGGCTAATACTTGGGCAGAGCCTCATATTCTTCCCTGTCTTGGTCAAAACAAACTTCCTTTTCTCTTCATCACCCTCCACACATTTGCCCAGCAGCCAGTATTTAAAGAGATGAACAACTCTCATTTCCTGACTCAGTTTCTCTTCTTGGGTGGGGGTCTTGTGCCACAACCTGCATGGGGTCCTAGGGTTTAAACCAAGTGGTGATGAAGGATTCTTATCTCAGGGCTCTGCCTGTCCCACCTTCTCTTGAGCCTGGACTGTCCTCATCCACATCCCTGCAGAAGGTGGGCCCTATTCTCAGAAGAGTCCTGGCTGCTGTTGCCATTTGAACGTGCCCCCACTTTTCAGGTTGACCAGCAGTGGCCTTATCTGGCCTCTCAGGTGGATGGAGGCTGTTCTCACCTGGGTCTGTTTCTTGATTAAGGCTGTTACCTGTTTGTATGGGGATCATGTTTCCCAAGACACGTTGCAGTTTAGGAGGTTTTCCTTTGGATGCTGAAGTGTTGGGGCTTTGAGGACATGTAGATGATTTATGAGAACAGAGGGGTAGAATATGTGAAGTCTAGGGTTTTGCGGCCAGTGGGTTTTGAATTCGTTGGCTGTTTAAAGACCCTGTCCTCTACCCTCCCCTTCCTTTTTCCATCAAATGCTTGCCTACTGAGGCACCTTCTCTTTTTATTCTTGAGCCAATGAGATATCAGTGTGTTTATTAATAAGGATTGCAACAGCATAGTGCTTAATATGTATGTGCCAGGCATAGTGCCAGGAGTTTACATACGTTATCCCTTTTAATCCAGAAAACAACCTTTGAATTAGGTATTATCCCCATTTGTAGATGAGGAAACTGAGGCAGTATGACTGAGACCGAGAGCAGTGGTTAAGAAGACAGACTTTGGGATTAAATCACCCTAGGTGCGGGCAGGTTGCTAGGCTACTCTAAGCTTCAACCTTTAAGTCAGTTGGGTCTGATAATATTACCTTCTTCCCGGGTGGTGGTGAGGGTGTAATGAAGTAGTGCATGTAAGCATTTAGCACCGTGCCTGGCACATCGTAAGTGCTCAGTAAATGGTAGTTACTTTTGTTGAGCTCAGCTGGTAGTTTGACTTCCATTGTTGCAATGCCAGAGATGGGATTCCCAGCCACCGCACTACCACCACCCTGCACACAGCCTGAGTCCCTCTGAGAGAAGCAGGCCAGCCTAACACCCCCTGAAGCATCTTGGTGCTTCACACACCTTTAGGAGGCCAGCCTAACAAGAGGCAAGAGGACATGAGGGTGTGCAAAAGTTCTGCCTTAGTGGGAATGGCTGGCCTGAGACTGCAGCTCACCTCCTCTGCCCATGGTCTGGACTGCTTGTGTGAAGGAGGCCCTCTCTTTCTGCCTGGTGGTGCCCGCCCCCCTCTGGGCAAGGAGGGCCTGTTGGTGATTTGCTGTGGACCCCACTTCCCCCTCTGGCCAAGGGCTGTGTTCTGTGCACATAGCTTAGGAACCTGCAGCATTTTCCTATATGGGTGGATGTTATCGGGGCCAAGAAGAGTGGGGATAACAGAAACCTGCTTTGTAGGGGATTATGTAGACTAAAAGCCTAGAAGTTCTGCCCACATCCTTATGACACAGGCAATCTGGAGCTTCATGTTTCCTTCTTAAAAGTAGTAACAGGGTAGAAGTGGGTGACCCATTGAGGACACATGATGTGAGGTATTTCTCCCAGATTTTAGGTTAGCAAAGACTCAGATGGGTGACTCATAAATGAAGGGAGAAGAGACACAAGACTGAATGGAGAGTTTTTCTTTTTTTTTTTTTTAAGATGGGGTTTCATCATGATGGCCAGGCTGGTCTTGAACTCCTGACCTCAGGTGATCCACTCATCTTGGCCTCCCAAAGTGCTAAGATTAGAGGCATGAGCCACCGCGCCTGGCCTGAAGAGTTTCTTTAACTTAGTTTTCTGAATGGGGATGGGGAGTTGCGGCATGTGTGTGTGTGAGGGGAGGCCACTTCACTTTGAAGGAATGGTGTTGGCTAACAGGATCCTTGGAATTCTAGTTAATTGATTAATAACTTTGAACTACTGGTTTGACTGTGGATTATTTCCTGGATATTAGTGGGACCCAACAGCACATTGCTAATAATATATGGAAAGAATGGTCTCTCTGCTTCAGTGAATTAATGAAGTAATGATAATACCATGAACCAGGAGAAGATGGTTGTGGGGGTTCTAGGAAGCAGCTGCTCTGAATGGGCCAATCCCAGGCTTGCCCTGGAGCCCTCTCGCCCTTCTGGGTTTGTATTGGCCTGGCCTGGCTCTTCCTCCCTCATTGTGCTGTTGAATGGACCCAGGCAGCCTTGTATCCATAGACAACCTTCACTCTTGGGGGTAAGGGCCCTCTGGAAATCAAGCAGAGAAAGCCCTTGCAGTGGTCTCCTGGGCATTGGGCAGAGCCTAGCCCTTTGCAGCCCCCAGAGGACTTCCCTGCATAAAGCACTTGGAGGGGTTAGTCACCTGGTGATTCTGTCCCTAGTGAAACCCTGTTTGCTGATAATATCCACATAGCCCTCTCTGTCCTCGCCGTTTGGATGCCTCTTTTTCACCTGCGTTAGGTTCTTGTACTTTTTATGCTGGCTTTTCTTAAAGGAACACCAGAGTAGAAAAGGGGTTAAGAATGTTTCTAGCAGGCAGGATGTGCATACATGTTTTTATGAGTGTCCTTTGTGTGCTGTTTCTTTTAACTCCTCCATGCACAGGGCTCCGGCCTTTAGTAAACGCTGTTTTTCTGTCTTACGTCATGCTGGCTGGGTGGTAGGGGCTGATTACAAAGGGGAAGAGTTGAACAGACATCAGGGGCCAATGAAATCAAAGGACTAGGAGTCAGAAGAACAAGGCAGGGACTAGGAGACAGTGGTTTGGTTTATTGTTACCCAGCTGGAGGACTCATGGGGCAGCAGCAGGAAGAACACGGGGGCCAGGGAGGGGCCAGGAGTTCCACAGTGGAGGGCAGACTCTTTTAACAGAGGCCAGCTGAATGCTTGCTGACCCTGGATGTCATGTGAGTTGGGGACCAGAAATCTGGGCTCAGAGAACCCGTCTAGGGAGATTTGAAGCCATGGGTTATCTTCTAGAGTTGATGCTGACACCAAGTTTTAATTTTTATTGATGTTTAACACCTTCTAAAACAGGAGGGTGAGATCAGATGGCAAGCCCCTCTGTTGAAGGATCTTGGGAACCTTGGTGGATTTTGGTTGAGTTATGCACAGCTGTGGACATCCTTCTTAATTCTCTCCACTCTGAGGATTTGTTTAACTAGAAAGTTCCCAGACACAGAAATGGCCTCCCCACCTGCTTAGGGGAGCTGTCAGCTAGGAGTGCCAGGCGTCCCACGGGACCCATCACTGCCAGTGTCTGTGCCTCCCAAAGGTCAGCCTTGTGTCTGCCCTGGCCCTGTCTCCTCTGTGACAGGGCAGAGCATTTCTGGTCAGTTTCTCCTTGATGCCCCCTGCCCCTTTGTAAAGTGGATGGACATGGTGGAATTCCTGATAGCCTGGGTGTTGATGATATTCACTTTTCCCGCAATCAGACATGGGCGAACTTGAAGCAGCTCTCGGTGTGCAGAGTTCACGTGACAGCCCCCACAGACTCCCCAGATAGGTGTGTGCCTGTGCGCTACTGCTGTGCCATTTCCCCAACTTGGTGTTTCACTAAATGCAGCTGATCTCTCTCTCTGCACTCGTGATCTGTGTTGAACAATACATGTAGCTTCTTTTTCCATGCAATGAAAGGACATGATATACTGTACATTGGAAAGCATTTACCGTATTTATATACCTGAATGTTCCCACTACACAAATAAACATATATTAAATTCTAGATCCTGTGTGGTCTTTGATGGTGGGGGGTGTCGGAAGGCCAAGAGTGTGGACGTCCAGTCACGTTTGTGGAGCCAGCGTTACTTCCCAGGATGCTACTGACCACCCCCTGCTTCTAGAGACTCCCTCTTTTCTTGGCCTTTGCATCCTGCCCTCTGGGCCATTCCTTGGTGGTGGCATTCTGCCTGAGGCTCTCTTTCCCTCACTGAATTCTCCTCCCTGAGTGTTCCCACCCGCTCCCGGGGCTCTGATCACCACACTCACTTCATGTCTGTAGCCCACATGGGCCTGCATTTCCATCTGCCTGTGAGGCCTCTCATACAGACTCTGCGTGACAAAACCCAAACCTTGCCCTTTTCCTACCCCTGCCCTGAGTCAGTGTTCTTTGACTACCCGTGTGTCTGTCACACAAGCCAGTAACTGGAGTGATCTCATCAGCTGCCCAGTCCTGCGCGTTCTGCATTCCCAACATCCTCAGAGTCATCCTTACTGCAGCCTTCTGGGCCAGGCCCCAACTCCTGTCAGGATTCCTAGGGCAGCCTCCAGCCCTCTCCCTACAGCCTGGCCACCTCTGCTAATCCTTTTTTTTTTGAGTTTCACTTTTGTTGCCCAGGCTAGAGTGATCTGGCGCGATCTCGGCTCACTGCAACCTCTGCTTCCTGGGTTCAAGCGATTCTCCTGCCCCAGCCTCCTGAGTAGCTGGGATCACAGGCACGCGCCACCATGCCTGGCTAATTTTATATTTTTAGCAGAGATGGGGTTTCTCCATGTTGGTCAGGCTGGTTGTCTTACACTCCCAAGCTCAGGTGATCTGCCTGCCTCAGCCTCCCAAAATGCTGGGATTACAGGTGTGAACCACCATGCTTGGCCCCTCTAATCCATTTCTTACATAATAGCTGGATGAGCTCTCTCTGTTTGGAACTCTTTGGTGCCTGAGGTTAAAGTTCAGACTTGGTAACGAGGCTTCTGGGCCATCTGTGAGCTGCCCAGTGCCTGACCCATGCGTTCAGGCCCTGCCCTCACAGCCATACCTGCCGCTTGTCCTTCCTTGTTCCAGGTGTGAGCCTGTCCCTGGCCTTGGCATGTGCTGTTTCCTCTGCCCAGTTTTTTTCCTTTCCCCGGCTCCTCCTCAGCCTGCCTAACTCCTCTATTCCTTGCACTTCTCACCGTCAACAGCACTTTGTTGGGAGGCCTTATGCTGTCTCCTCACTCACTGTGTGCCTTCTGCCCCAGGACCTTCTATTTTTGTGGGAGAGTCTGAACTCCTGGGAGCCAGAGGGGCCAACCTTACCAGGGCAAATGTCTGAGGCCAGTGGGACCTGTAGATTAACTACCTTTTGGACAGGGGCGTCTGCTGTTTTCGCCCACAGGAAACCTACTACCATTGGAACTTACACAACGAATTGCTCACCAACATCCAGATGCCAAAAAAAAAAAAACAAAAAAAACCCCACTTCATTCATTTGCTTTCTTAAACCCCACAAAATCTAACTGCAAGCCACCAGTTTCCAGGATTGCTAAGAAACCCAACATGAGTCATTTTCCCTGGCTGCCTTGCTCCCTTTTGTTGCACCAGGAGCTGAGGGCTCACATGGTGCTGGAGAAGTGGTGAGGGTCCCTGGGCTCCACTCCCTCTGCTGAAGGCTCTGTTGTCCAGGCCTGTGAAGTCCGCAGGGCCTAGGTCAGTGGCATCAGAGCACCTGTGTAGTTGCCTGCATCTGGCGTCCTTCCATACCCACAGCCCACAAACACTGGCCTTAATGGTTCCCCTCCCATCTCCTCCCCTCTGCTTCTCTCCCCTCCCTTCCCTTCCCCTCTCCTCTCTTCCTCTCCCTTCCCCTCTCTTCTTTTCCCCTTCTCTCCCCTCCCTTCTCTTCTTTTCCCCTTCTCTCCCCTCCCCTCTTTTCTTTTTTTTTGAGGGTCCCTCTCTTGCCCAGGCTGGAGTGCAGTGGTGCGATCTCAGCTCACTGCAACCTCTGCCTGCCAGATTCAAGCGATTCTCCTGCCTTAGCCTCTCAAGTAGCTGGGAATACAGGCACATGCCACCACACCTCACTAATTTTTTTGTGTTTTTAGTAGAGATAGGATTTTGCCATGTTGGCCAGGCTGATCTCAAACTCCTGATCCCAGGTGATCCAACCGCCTTAGCCTCCCAAAGTGCTGGGGTTACAAGCATGAGCCACGGTGCCCGGCCACCTCGATGATTTCTGTGTATTCAGCCAGCACTTGTGGAGTGCCTGCTCTAGAGTAGGCCCTCTCCAGACACTGCAACAAAGAGTCCTTGTTTCATGGAGCTCATCTTAGGGAAGAACGACAAACCTGAGAAAACATGTTAAATGGATAAAAATGTAGCCAGGAGAGGGGAAAAGGGAATGCTGGTGGGGAGAGGTTGCCATATTAAATAGGGTGCACAGGGAAGGCCTCACTGCAGAGATGGTGTGTGGGCAAACGGACACACCTGGAGGCTGTGTGGGAGGTAGCTGTTTGGGTGTCTGGGGAAATGTGAAGACCCCTGTGCGGTGGAGGAACTGCAGGGATGGAGCAGGGGAGCGGGGAGGAGCACTGGCGGGAAACCCAGGGGTCCCAAGAATCGTAATTACACAAGGCCAAGGCCATTGGCTTTTACTCTGAACAAGATGAGAAGGGTTGGGAGTTCAGAGCCTAGGAGTGACTCGAAGTGTTTGTTTGCAAAGGGCTGCTATGTTGAGAACAGACTGCAGCGGGGCAAGGGCGAAAGCAGGGAGATCAGAGAGGAGGCAACAGCAGCGATCCAGAAGAAGAGAGAGAGACAGATACACACACACACACACACACACACACACACACACACACGGCTCAGTGGAGCATATGGCGGTGGTGCGGTGGTGAGAAATGGTCAGATTGTCAGAATCTGCAGAAGGATTAGGTATGGAGGAGAGGGATGAAGAGGAGTCAAGGATGACTGTGAAGTTGGCTTGGGCAGCCGGAAGGATGGCACTGCCATTTCTGAACTGTGGACAGCTGTGGGAGGACAGGTGTAGGTGGGAGGTGGATTAGAGAGGGGTTTGGACACTTTCAGTTTGAAATGGCTGTGAAATGCCCACACAGGGATGTCCAGTGCTGGGGAGTAGTCTGAGATGGAAATAGAAATTTGAGAGTAATCAGGGTGTGGGTGTTATTCTACACCAGGAGCCAGAAGACTGGATAAAGTCATCCATAGAGAGGAGCTGAGGTCTGAAGATGAGCCTCTATTGTTCTGGACTTGGGGATCTACTTCTTTTCAGCTAGGGCTACCCCCTTCCCTTCAATAAGACAATCCAGCCTTAAGGCCTGGGGAAAGGCCTGGGTAGACTTGCCTTCAGGTGGCCCCACTCCCACCTGACAGAAGAAGCAGCTATTAATTTCCCCCTGGGGCCAGAATTCTAGAGGCCTGGGTGTGTGCCTCCCAGTGCCTCTGCCTAGGACTTCTGTCTTTTTTTTTTCTTTTTGAGACAGAGTCTTGCTCTGTGACCCAGGCTATAGTGCAGTGGTGTGATCTTGGCTCACTGCAACCTCCGCCTCCCTGGTTCAAGTAATTCTCCTGTCTCAGCCTCCCGAGTAGCTGGGATTACAGGTGCCCACCACCATGCCTGGCTAATTTTTTGTATTTTTTAGTAGAGATGGGGTTTCACCATGTTGACCAGGCTAGTCTTGAACCCCCTGACCTCAGATGATCCACCTGCCAGGGCCTCCCATAGTGCTAGGATTACAGGTGTGAGCCACCACACACTTTTTTTCTTAGTTATTTGAAAGTCATAGACATTATGCCCCTTTACTCTTATATAGCATTATTCAGATTTCACCAATTATCCCAATAATATCCATCATAGCAAAGAAAAAAATATATGTGTGTGTGTGTGTGTATGAAATGGCGTTTTGAGATGGCGTTTTCGGGGGTGTTTTGAGATGAGATGGCGCTTTGCTCTTGTTGCCTCCTGTCTTCTTACACCTCTGAATAGACTGAATCTGATTCCTCTTTTGCATGACACATGTCTACAATTTTTTTTTTTTAGGCAGAGTTATGCTCTGTTGCCAGGCTGAAGTGCAGTGGCGCAATATTGGCTCACTGCAACCTCTGCCTCCTGGGTCGAAGTGATTCTCCTGCGTCAGCCTCCTAAGTAGCTGGGACTACAGGTGCACACCACCACACCCAGCTACTTTTTGTATTTTTAGTAGAGACAGGGTTTCACCATGTTGGCCAGGATGGTCTCTATCTCTTGACCTCGTGATCTGCCTGCCTTAGCCTCCCAAAGTGCTGGGATTACAGGCATGAGCCCCATGCCTGGCTTACAGTGATTCTTAAGTGCCTCCCGCCCTTCCCTTTGCTGCCCAGCCTTCTCTTCCCAAGTTCTCCATCTTGTTCTTTTCACTCTTCCTCATGAGAAATGCCACCCATTCCCTTCACTGTGCTGCCCAGTTCTGCATGCCCACAAGCTTATCCTTTTTGGGGGTCCGAAGTCACTGCCTGTGGTTGTGCACCAGTGTGTGTGTTGGAGGGGGCATGCATGGGATCCTGTGGGCATTGGAGACTCCCAATGCCCAAGAGTGAGCTTCTTTCCTGCTGTAGTCTCACGGACCCCTAGATTTCCTGTCTACCATGCTGTTCGTTAGGAAGCAGGGCCAGGAGGGGGCCCTCTGGTAATCTGTCGGTTACCAGAGAACTTCCTGAATCTGGGGAGCTGGGGTTGGTGGCTTCCTGAAGTTGCAATTATTTAACTTTGTATTTTGAATAGTTTTAGACTTACAGAAAAGTGGTAAGAATAGTATAAAGAATTTCCTACATCCTTCACCCAAATTTTCCAAATGTTAACATTTTGTCACATTTGTTTGTATTCTCTCTCCATGCACACATTTTTTCTTAGTTATTTGAAAGTCATAGACATTATGCCCCTTTACTCTTATATAGCATTATTCAGATTTCACCAATTATCCCAATAATATCCATCATAGCAAAGAAAAAAAAAATGTGTGTGTGTGTGTGTG